AAAGGTTTCCACCGTAAATTAGAGGAAGGCGTTGAAAAGGGGTTGAGCAAACACCTTACTTCCTGATGGACAGCGTCACCAACCGTTGCGCTACCCCTCACCAGCATGAATGTGTTATAACGATGGATTCGACTAACGTTTTCTCGCCCTTAACCTTTTCAGAACTACGATAACACTTGTCGGTTTTCTACAGCTGCTCGTTCTCGCCAGATGGGTTTTCGTAGTCATATTAAGTCGCAACCTTCCGAACAGGAGCAACACCTGATTGAAAAATTACACTCAGCAGTGCGTTTTGATAGATGACGGTTGTTGATCTATTACTGGCTACTTTGATTTAATTGCACTATTATTATTTTGAAGAAAGTAAAGGCGTTATAACATCATTTGAATAAACCTTTTATAACAACCTTATGTAGGCTTATTCTTCCAGGAAAATATTGATTGTTCTCATTGAAGTTTAACTATATACGGTTAACCTCTATGATGCTAAGACATTTGCAAAATTCCAAACCGCAGGTGTCTGCGGTGGAGAACGGACTCGCTATTACCCTTGGTAACGCGTTTACAACCACACCATACGGGCCCTTCGTTTCTCCTGTCTGTCAGTTAGTTCTATCGATCACTGCCATCAGCAATCATGCTTCAGTGGGATTGATCTGGGAAGCTAAATCGGCAATGAACTCAATTAAGCTGAGGCCGTAGTTATAATCAGAATCTTCACCTTTTTATTTACTGCCTACTCTTTTTAATGGCAGGGTACACAAGGTGGTGAACGCGTTAGTCCCCGGAGTCCCCGGAAAGGCCAATAGCGTTTTCGCTCCGCACCGCAGGCACCAGCGATCCGGAGTTTTGCAAATATCTCAGCATCATAGAAGTTATATTTTTCAATCTTACCCTACCATAAAAAGAGTAGGCAATAAATAAAACGGTTAAGATTATGATTATATTCGGTTACTAAGCTATGTTGACTATATACCGTTAATGATTTTCCCGAATCGACTACTTTCCAGTGTTCTACACGGCATTGGATCATATCTTCGAAATTTTTTTTTTGTGGGAAGTAGAGAAGTAATAGAATTCAACAGCCGAAAAGTCTAAACCACCGATTAGTAGCCACCTTCGTAACGAGTCCGATTACCATCTTGCTTCAGTATTTTAAAAAAAACACCCAAATGAGGTACTGCCTCATCGGAAACAATTCTGGCGCTCTGAAACTCGCAATAACTCAACTATCGATTGAATATGATTCAACATAGGAATTCGAAATGAGCTCCAGTAATCAGGCAGCATCTTCGCTTACTAAGCATGAGAATGTGTAAGGAAACTTATTGGTCCCATTAACTACGTTCCTAAACAAATCCGTCGCGTTACGAATACATAGGATAAAATTCCCATCCACAGAAAAACTGTACAGCGTGCGCCCCTGGCGTTAGAGAGCGTCGACAACACCCACAACCCTCACTGCCTTTCTCCTCGCGTGTTCACAGTGGTTGAAGGTATCCCGGATAACGTTCTCAAAGAACACCTTCATCACTGCATGAGGTTCGTCATATATTACACTGAGTTGCGCTTAACACCACTATGACGAGCGAAAAGGCGAACACCCGGCTTGGTGATTCCTTGGATGTTGTGTCTAAGCACTTTATGATGGGGTCTAACTTCTCCGTTGCCGGGTACTTTGCATTGTTTCCCACGACGCGGCAATAATGACACCCGCACAACAGCTACATTCACGAGTGCAATAGAGGCACTCAATAAAGCGCCATTAATAGCAACAGCTGCGGTCCGCACGCTGCGACCACAAGTGTAGTGTCGAGTGGACAGCATTGTGGTAAGCTGGCGAAATCGAATATTAATCCAAATGTCAACATTTAAAACTTAGCAGGGGTGTTCTACTCTAATTGAGATACGGGAATGATTCCTTACAAAACACAATTTCTTCTCGAGTCACGAGAAAGCACCACTATAGTGTTCCCAGATGATCATTACGATGGGTGGCTCTAATAAGTTGGTCACACTCTGGAGACTACGGAAGGAATTGAACTCTACTCTATGCACAATCTCATTCACCGGAACTTGGTAGGAAATGAGCGAAGGCTCAGTGCTACCAGATGAATATTATCAGTATCATCTGTCGTCCCGTTCGTCGAGTGGCTCGAGTTGGTAGATCTTCCATTACTCCACGTCGCGTGCAAGAGTAGCCCAACTGGTTTTTTGCTCCCTCCTAATGCTCGTTAATCTTTAAATCTTTATTCTAGTATTGTCTTTTTTTAGGGTTCTTATGAAGAACTCTAACCATCGGGTCGATGGTCTTCCCATGGTACTGTTGACATAGAGAGGAATCTAACAACAAGCGGTTCTTGACCATCTGTTGTCGTCCATACGCATTACGTGTCCGACGTACCTGATCTTCGAGTGTTTGGCGTATAGAACAGCGTCTTTTGATCATTGACGCAGATCGGAGCTTCCCTCTTTTATGTCACGCTAGATACTCCTAACACCGTCCTTTAGACCGCGTTTTATAACGCAGAGTAATCTTTCTCTCTGCTTACGTACCGACCAGGATTTTGACGCATACAATAAGATCGAACTAATCGTGGAGTCGAAAAGGTGGCCATGGAGTCAGGTGTTCTTCGTCCTCTTCACTACACCGTCGATGCTCTTGAAAGCTTCCCAACCCGCTCGCTTTCTCCTTCTCAAATCTGGAACTAACTCGTTCATAATGTTGTGTTTCCTGACCTAAATAGACGAAGTTAGACCATTCGGAAATATTCGCTCCGTTGAGCATGAAACGGGCACAAGAAAGCAACCGCTGTCCATGGCTTCCATGACTGCTTCTATCTCAACTGAGTCAAAAACTCTCTTTAAATTGATTAAAGTGTGAGAGCGGTATTTCCTGCTCTCGCGATACTTCAGCGGGCCTTGTTATCGTGTAAATGTGGTCCATCGTACCGAATCCTTTTGGAAACCCTGCTTGCTCACATGGCTGTCCTTCGTGCAGTGTTCTATCAATCCTGTTCAGGACGACTCGAGTGAAGAATTTGGAGAAGACGGAGAGTGAGCATATTCGGCAGTAGCTAATGATATCGTGGAGGTCACCCTTCTTGAACAATAGCGTGGTCCTGCTGGTCTTCCATTTAAAAGGGACCTTGAATTCGGACGGGTAACGCATGAACAGCTGATTCTGTGTGTTGATGAAGACTAGCGGAAGGTTCCTCAGGTGTTCAGATGTTGTCCTGTTCTAAACAGTTCTAGCCTGACGTTGATCGGTTTTTCACTGACAAAATACCATGTCGTATCACGGAAGGGAGAACCGATGGTACGACATAATCATCCTCCTTTAATTCATACGAGAAGAGGAGGACATGGCTATTGAAGAATGCGGTATACTTAACCAATCCCTTGCTCATGAACAACGTTTTCGTGAGATTTAGTTGAGGGCTAATCTTTCCACAAACTTCATCAAAGTCGGCAGACATTCTTTCCGCTTAGCTAGTGTTTGGTGTTATGCGGACCATGTCATCACCAAAGGGGAGATGGTGTAACTGCCGACCATTGATTTTCACTCCCATGTTATTTCATTCTAATATTTCCATGACTCTCGAGGATGGGGGTAAACAATTTTTACGAGATAGTATCGCCTTGCCTAACACCCCTTTTGATTTCGAAGTAATATCGTTGTAGAATGATGACATTTTGGATGAAAAATTTTTATATAGTTCACGAAGAACCTTTATGTACTGAGTGGGACCTCCAGGGCTGTACAGAGCTTCTATAACTGCTTCTATCACTATTGCGTCAAAAGCAATCAATGAAAATGAGACAGAACTGTTGTCTGTTGTACTCCCGAGATACTTCAATGAGTCTTCTTGTCGTGAGAATGTTGTCCGTGGTAGTGAGTCCCTTTTTAAAACCCTGTTTGCTCACATGACTGCACTTCCTCCAGTGTTCTATCAATCCTGTTTAGGACGACTCGAATGAAAAGTTTGTAGACGACAGACAACGAGCACATTGGACGACAGTTAGCGATATCGTAAAGCTCACCCTTCTTGAGCAATAGCACGGTCTCGCTGGTCCTCTACTGAGTAGGGACCATTCATTCAGACAGCTAACGTGTGAAGAACCGAGCTAGTGTGTTTACGAGGACTGGCAGAGGGTTCTTCAGGTGTTACAATCTCATCCTCTCCGGAGCTGGTGCTGTTCGACTTCCCACCGATGAAATGGCATGACGGATTTCGTGAGGAAGAACCGGTGGTACAACATATTCATTCTCCTTTATTTCATATGACGGAAGGTGGACGTGGCTATTGAAGTTATCCGAGTAGTATTCGTGAATGATTTTCTCTATCGTCTTTCTGGACGCTGTAAGTGTTCCGTCTGGGCGCCGGAGAGCAAGCATTTTGGTCATGTAATTGGCGAAGCTTTGGTGGGCTTTGCGAATGCTTTTCCCAGCCTCGGCAGCTTCGACCATTACTGCTACTCGTCTCTATTTTGGATCTTTAATCGCCTGTCTGCATAGTTTTGCAAGTTTGGACGTTAGTTCGCGGTTGACTGCAGCTCGTGCGATTCAACGCTAGCGTGTTAGCTCGAGAGTTTCTGGAGGCAAACGCCTCTTGGTGACTTTCGAGCTCTCAGTTTTCACAGTGCTAACGTGATGTTGAATGAGCCGATCGTCTTCCTCGTCGATGTTATGAAAAGCAGCCTCTTCCCAACATGATGGTCTTGAGACTTCGTTTTTTTCTAATTAGCTTCTTTTTCTTCTTTCCGCGAGAAATGAACTCTTTCACGGAGGTGATGGTCTGAGTCCGTGTCTCCAATGGCAGAGTTCCACGTCCAGCATTTAAACTAGGGTTTCTGGAATTGCAAGCTACCATGAATGATCTTGGTCGTCGTGACAAACTCAGGAACCCACTCACTGTGTTCGTTCCATTCCAATCTGTCGCTCCCAATGTGATGTTCTTCGGACGTTCTTTTAGGACTAAACATAGCTTTGAAATCTGCTATGATGACCTCAAATAATGTATAGTCTTCTCTATAGCACAACTCCAAGCCCTTGTAGAACGGCTTGACTTCCTCTTCGTTATGGCTTGATTTGTTGTCAAAGCCGATGTTGATCTACATCTCTTTAATCGTAAACGTCCGATTCGGGCTGTTAGTTGTTCAAAGAAATCGAAGTTCATGGCGAAACTAGTGTCAGCGAGAACGCCAACGCCGCTGACTTCACCAGTATTGCATATCCCGGGGAACAGTTGTTCTCCGGTGTCATAAACGGCGTTAAATAGGTGCTGTCGTCTCGTATCTGCCAGTCCAATGACGTCGTACCTTATCCTTCTTGCTTGCATGAACAAGTCCTCTATCGAGCCAATGCCAATGTAGGTGCATTGTAAGTACAGATCGTAACCGTACTTCTCTGTAACCCAGGCAGTTTCCATTGGCCCTGAGATTTTAGCAGCCTCTCCGTACTCGTACAACGCTGCGAAATTTGGGGGTCTTTAGGAGTCAGGGCAATGAGGCTCTTTTATTTTCCTGTGTTTAGCTTTTTGATACCTACGTATAGCCCGCCGAGCTCTGAACGTGGACGCTGGATATACTCACGTGCAGCTTGCCAATCTCTCCTAGACTAAACGAGGAGCTTATTTGTTGGAGACGACTCTTAACCGCTCCCCACCCGCCATATACTTCCCTGTCACTTGATTGCAGGCTTTTGGCCTACTTAACTTGCAGAATACAATCCGCATAAGCAGGAATGCACCCACACACGCATGCATGAATACGCCTAGCAAATACAGAAAGTATGTGCCAAATCAGCGCAGCAGAAGCAGGGAGTCCATCCTCTGGATCCATCTGCGTCTCAGGGAAGCAAAGGTCGGTTTTAGTCCGCGGTTAACCCCATATCCGCCACCTGGGGACGCGCCACATAGCCTCGCGACTAACCGGCTAGAGATCCCTCATGTAAGGGAGATCCGTGGCAGTGAAGAGTATCATAACGAAATAGACCACAACATAGTAAATCGAAGGCTTTGCTTCACTTATGTCGCTGTTGTCCAAAGATTCAACGCAGGATTAGGCATCAGATCATAGCCTCTTTCGTGCAAGATTCCGTCCCTCGCGGAAAGGAGAAAAGGCTGCTAAATTCGAAAAAACGAAGTCCTAAAACCAATATAAACTGGGACTTATTCATTTCACTAGTCGGCTGTTGGGAGATACCGTTGTCGATAACAGTGAGAAGGAATACGATTAGCTCATTCAACATCTTCACGTTAGCGCTATGAAAGCCGAGAGTTCGAAAGTCACCAAGAGGCGTTTGTCTCCAGAAACACTCGTGCTGATACGCCAGTGTAGAATCGCACGAACTGCAGGCAACTGCGAAATATCGCTCGAATTTGTAAAACATTGCAGGCACGCGATAAAATAAGATCTTAAAGAGAGAAGAGCAGCAGTTATGGTCGAAGTTGGAGAGGCTGGGGAAAGACAAACTCCACCGATGCCTTGCCAATTACGTGGCCAAGATGATTGCACCCCGACGCCCAGACGAAACAGTTACAGCGTCCAGAAAGACAATGAAGAAAATCATTCACGAATACTAGTCAGATCTTAACTCTTTTATTTACTGCCTTTTTCTTCTTAATGGCAGGGTATGTTGTGAAATATAACTCGTATGAAGTGCTGAGATATTTGCAAAACTCCAGACCACAGGTGTTCACCACTACACCATCCATCCGGACCCGGATGGTGTAGTGGTGAAATGCGCTGCTCCCCGGTAAGGACAACAGCGCGTGTTCGTTCCCCACTGCATACACCTGTGGTCCGGAGTTTTGCAAATATCTCAGCACTTCATACTAGTCAGATCTCTTCGATAGCCACGTCCACCTTCCTTCATATGAAATAAAGGAGGATGGACATGTTGTACCACCGGTTCTCCCTTCCAAAATCCGACATGCCATTTCGTCGGTGAGGAGTCGAACAGCACGAGGTCCGGAGAGGAGGAGACGAGAACACCTGAAGAACCTTCTGCCAGTCCTCGTAAACACACTGACTCGGCTCTTCACACGTTACCTGTCTGAATGCAAGGTCCCTACTCAGTGGAAGACCAGCAGGACTGTGTTATTGTTCAAGAAGGGTGACCTACACGATATGCGCAAATATTACCCAGTCTGCTTACTGTCTGATTTAGTAGGTGGATCACATCCACACGGTAACGAGGCTCATTGAAGTGTCGCGAGAGTACAAAACACCGCTCTGTCTCACTTTCATTGATTTACAGAAGGCCTTTGATTCAACTGAGATGGTAGCAGTCATGGAAGCCCTTGATAGTCAAGGAGTCCCTACTCAGTGTATAAAAATTCTTCGTGAGCTGTACAAAAATTCCACAACCAAGATGTAACCATTCTACAACGATATCAGCATTGACATCAAAACAGAGTTTAGACAAAGCGATGCCATCTCGCCAAAATTATTTACAGCCACCCTCCAGAACGTCATGCTAACATTGGAATGGGATAATATGGGAATGAAAATCGATGGTCAGCAGTTACATCATCTTCGCTTTGCTGATGACATCGTCCTTATAACACCAAACATTAGCCAAGCGCTCACAAAAACGATGTTCATGAGGGACGAATTGGTTTCGTGCGCCCCGTTCACGCTCAACGGAACGAATATCTCCGAATGTTCCAGTTATATCTATCTAGGTCGGGAAATCAACATGTTGAGCGACTTAACTCCATAGTTGAGCAGAAGGGAACGAGCAGCTTGGGGAGCTTTCAAAAGCACCGAGGATGTAGTGAAGAGAACAAAGAACACCAGACTCCGTGCCCACCTTTTCGAGTCAACGGTACTTTCTGCCCCAACAACGTATGAGTCAGAAACCTGGTCGGTGCGTAAGTAGAATGAAAGATCACTCAGCGTTATCGAACGCGCAGCCGAAAGAACGACGCTAGAAGTATTCCGTTCCACACAAGTAAAGGAGAGGATCCGAAGCTCCGATCTGCGTCAACGATCAAAAATCAAAGATACCGTTCTATACGCCAAACAATCGAAGATAAGCTGGGCCGAACACGTAATGCGCATGACTGACAACCGATGGACAAGAGCTGTTAGTGACTGGATTCTTCGGGATTTCAAACGTACTACAGAAAGATCACCTACCCGATGGTCAGAGTTCTTCACAAAGAGCGTTAAAGAAAAATATGATGCTTGACCAGTCCATAGAGTGAGCAGAACCAACTGGGCTACTCTTGCACGCGACAGAGAAAAATGGAACATTTACTGGCACCCGCTCGAGTCAATCGGCGATCAACGGGACTACAGGTGATACAGGTGATCTTAAGGACGCGTGGAGCGCAGTGGTTACACGTAACCTGTAATACTCACGTCGTCGTTGATTCGACCCCGCTCCCCAAGCTAACCAGGCCTCCCATCCCTCCAGAGTCGGCAAATTGGTGCCAGATTTGTCTGGGAGGATGCCAGCACTGGCTTGATACATCGGTAGACCACAGCGAGTCATTGGAAGAGGGAATATGCATTCTGGCACTTTTACGATGCTCAATAGAGTTGAATGCATATCGCATCCGTCAGAGATCGGTCAACGAGAAACGCTTATTATGGCCTATATGATCTCACGAACTCTCAGTTGACACGAGGTTTTTATTGCGTACTGGTAGAATTAAACGGTTGATATTTCGGCAACTTCGCCTTCTTCAGATCCATTTTTTTTTCTTTGCTAAGAATGGGACCACTTGTATGTGGCTCACATATGACACACACCCGTGGTTGCAGGTTTTTAAAAAAAAAAAGGAGAACAACTCTCAGCAAGACGAACTCGTCGAGACGTCAGCCATTGAATTCTATGAAGACGTAACAAGAACCTCGTGCCAGCAGAATAAAAGCGGGATTCTTAACACAACATAAATACTGGTTTCTATGTGTTTCATGGAAGATAAGGTGTGCTGCATGAAATCAACAAATAATTATCAGCTGATCTAAAGGAAGATTTTGAAAGAAAGGATATTGGGAGTTTATGTCGACATTACGCGGTATTTGACCACACTAAGCTTATTTCGCGCGTATGGCACAGTGGTCCGAGGCGCCTGCAACACACATAGTATCGTTCCTCGCACCCGTGACCCACCAAGCGCCTTCCATCCCTGCGAGATCGGCAAATTGATACCAGACTTGTGTGGGAGGATAGCAGCACTGGTTCGATACATCGGCAGCTCACCGCGAGTCAATGTAAAGGCCAGATTTGCATCCAACCACCTCCAAACGATACTTAATGAGGTCGAATGCATGGCACATCCCTTAGGGATCGATCGAAGCCGAGAGCTTTATGCTCTATCCTTTAAATCTTACTTCACTAAGTACACATGACATCATACTACTTGCCACCTTTGTAAAGTCTATTTCTCCCTTCTTAACCACATGTGCCCAGAGTCATTCCGTAAAAGCACTCGACATTTATCAATCCCTAGGGGTTGCGCGACACATCCGATTTCATCGTGCAGTGTAACGGTGACTCAATACACATCTGGCAGATACAATCAGTTGCCCTGAGTTTACCGGTGTACCAGATCAGTACGTCCCTGGACTATTAAACAACACCTGGTCACCCTCGTCTTGTCGGTGCTCGTTGTCGTATCGAGTAGAACCCACTGGATGGATCACCGCTCGAATGAGACACAGTAAGAACAGTGAACATTATTTATCATTTTGATCCTTACTGAAGATTTCAATCCACGAATAACATAACTTGTACATTTCATCGATACAGAAACAATAAACCTTTCGTCGATTAAACATTGACAATGTGTTTTAAAAATAGTACGAGACATCGAAACTCAACCGGTATCGCAACCCTCAAGCGTTTGTATAACACAGACTAAGAGCTACTGTTAAGGAAGTGAAAAATTTATGGGGAGAATAATGATTGGGAAGGGAAAATAATTGCCGTTAATAGTGCAGAAAAACATAATCATGAATTCATAGCAGATCCAGGAGAGGATAGTAAGCAGCTTTTTCTACGAGATGCTAAAAAATGAAACCTTCTACTTGACTTTAATGGTATAAACATTGTTAAGGGAATTTATACACACTTGTAAAGCATGCAAGGACGAAAACCATAAAAGGAAAGAGGATAGAGGCAGAGGAATGGACTGAACTACCATTAAAATAAAGCTAAAGAGTAGAACCGTCAAGTACATTAAGCAATATGACACTTAGCTTGAGTGTATTGTCCTACGAAAGTAGGAATTTTTGTTAAAAACTAATAAAGGGTTCTAAAAGAAAGGAAAGGAAAAAACAAAAATGGTGTGTAGGCTCCATTCAGACGCCAACGCTTCTTAACGAAAATATGGTGGAACCGTTAATTTCGTGAGAGAGCGACATATGTGCAGAATATAGAACGAGGAGAAATAACTATGAAAACTCGCAGTGTATTGCCCAGTGATCGGATGGGAAACATAAACAACTTCTGATCCTTTGCTGGCCAGCAAGCGAGAATTTGACGCGGTGTAAGGGTCCGTACCAAAAAATACGGTCGAACCTTAACCACATATTGATAATACCTAGTGGGAAATGAGGAGAAATAATATCTAAACGTGATTCTTTAAAGTATAAATTCAAAGAGATGATTGCTCAAGAATACGAACCTACTCCTTGCCCCAAATGCTCTTTTGTTGTCATTTTTTCTCGTGTCCCATGTGAACTCGGTCTCTTTGCTACCTCCTGCTGCTACCCATGCATCCGCAAGACCTCTAGGTATGTTTGAAACCTTAACATTGGAAACGATAGTCATTCTACAAATCGCAGATGATTTTTAAGACAACCTCTGCATCCCTTATATTTAAATCTCCTCCAAAAAAGAGAAGGCAGTTTGGATGACTCGATATAATGTCACAGATTTTCTCCATACATAGTTTAAACTGTTCCTGTCTGGAATGACAAGTACAGTTAAAAAAGGTTGCGTGAAATCAATGAACAAAGTAGAACCTTATCTTGCTGTGTTCCTTCATGCTTTCCAAATGAGTATTTAACAAAAATACTTTCTGCTGTCCGATTTTTCCCTAAACATGGCACTAATTCTAGTCGGACCACCACTTATGAGCATAATAATAAAAGAATAAAGCTGCCGGCGTTGATTAATCCCTAAGGGATGCGCTATGCATCCGACTTCATTAAGCATCGTTTGAGGTGACTGAATGCATATTTAGCCTTCAAAATGACTCGCAGTGGCCTACCGATGTACCGAACCAGTGTTGCTATCCCAGCAAGCAAGTCTGGCACTAAGTTGCCGACCCCAGAAGGATGGAGCGATTGGTGAGCCTGGGGCGCGCGGATCAATCACATCTGTACTGCATGGCGCCTCCAACCACTGCGCTATACGCACCCCTTGAGCACAACAATACTTCATGCTCGATACTTTAATGGCCCGTCCTCATTAGTTGTGCGAGCACCAGTATAATCTCTATTTTTCGGAGAATTGCTCGTTAAGCCATTGCGGTTCCCTGGAATCTCGAGGACAGCCTGGCTAAAGTCTGCCCCAGGCCTTACCACCACGGGCACCCGCAGCCCATGTGGATCAAAGGGAGATTTGCCACCACGGGACTAGTTTGATGCCAGGAAGGCGGTGGATCCTGGTATTGGTTTACTCTCAACTAGGCTTCCTGATGCAAACGCCAGACTCCTTCTCAGCTTGGGAGACCCCACCGGGGGACGAATCCCCCCGCTGTACATCCCAGTCCGATACCCAGGAATACCTCCCAGCCACGACGAGGCGGTAAACCGTTGGAAGGAGCACAACAATACCATGTTAAAACATAAAACTCACCTCCAATACCTGAAGTGTTCGTCCCATACCAGAGTTTTGATAGTGAATAACATTATGGCTACAATAAGGGGAGATAAATCCTATATTCCTGGTGATGTAAACACCTTACCTGTCAACTTCAAACATTTTACTGACTAGTATCGCTGTGAAATAAAGGTAACCTTCATTCGAGTAGAAAATGTTGTACAATTTTGAAAACCGATTAATCGTCGACAACTCTCTACCCACGACCTCTTGTAGAAATACAAAATCTGGGTTGAGACTGAAAAGGAAAAGAATGTAGACTAGTGGAAAATAACAATAGCGCTGGTGACACTCGAAAAACTGACTTGTTCACGATTTTGTAGACACCCTTCATACGTGTTGATAAGTTATTTCCGTCAAGACCGTCGATATTCCAAGAGACGAGAGAAACTTCAAGCCCCTAATAAGGAAAACTTACGAAATATTCCTTACACATTTATGGACAAAGATACTAAGCAAACTTACTGTCAAATCTATGGGATCACTCTCGACAACTGAAACTCCAGTTGTTTTCTCTGCCACGTCTCTCTCATCGGTACCAAAAAAGAAATCAATACCTCTCTAAACAGTTTAGTTAAAGCAACGCGTTTTCTTCACATGTTTTTTCTGTAGTGAGCACCAGGACGTAAAAACGATAAAGCTCTCGGCGTTGATCTGTCTCTAGGAGATGAACCATGCATTCGATTTCACTACGCATCGTTTGAGGGGACTGAATGTAAATCTGTCCTCAACAATGACTCGCGTTGGCCTACCAATGTATCGAGCCAGTGCTGCTATCTTTCCAGACAAGTCTGGTACCAATTTCACGACCTCGGATGGATGGAAGGCTTGGTGAGCTTAGGGCGCGGAGGTCAATCCCATGTCTTCTGCAGGACGCCTCTAACCACTGCGCTACGCAACCTACTGTCAGGGTGTCCTTCCTGAGATCCCGTGGAAACTTTGGTAAAGCATTTGCAAGTCTGCACCGCAGGGAATTGCCAGACAATATGGATCGGATAGAGGTCTGCTGCGCTACAAATCGGTTTCACCAAGTTTGAATGTGCATTCGACCGACCGAACGATGGGGTCGACTTCCATGCTTGGAAATCATTGGACATCCTTCATAAGATGGATTGGAACTCAAGTTATAAACGGAAAATGTATAGAGAAAAATTAAGCCATAAAACTTACATTTACATCCCAATGAACGCTCTCAAGGATTGACAATGCGGCATCTCTGTCAGCATTTGTGATTGACATAAAATCTGTCAAGGCTTCTACCTTCATAGGATCAAGCTGGTCATCATTTCTATGCTCTGAAATCTTATTCCTAAAGCGATTGCAGTATTCCTTTGATTTACTAACCTTCGTTTTCCTCCTCTAAGCATCTCACGTCGTTCAGCTCTTCATCAGTCATTGACGATGATCTCATTTTCTTTTCGGGTGGAGTTTCATCGGCATTTGTGCTCATCTTCAGCAATTCAAGTAGTTTTTTAGATATTGAGAAATATGCAATAAGCCCAAATAGCAACTTGCACCACCATTTCAAGCAAATCCTCGATTTTTCGCGCCAGGAGCAAACCTAAGGTGCGTGATTTTCCTATACGCCATACAGAACTGTGGCGTATTTGCAAATGTAGAACGTGGAGCTCCGCCCATTTTACTGCGCCTCGTATCCGCGTGGATGATGGTCCTTCCTCATCACTTGTTGTTCACGATTGTTCAGATTTCTGGAGTTGAGTGTTACACTTCCACCGCTACTTTGTTAGTTATCTTGTTAGCAATGTAAAGAGGTTTAAAGGATGGTTGTATGTCTATGATTATTCAGGTTTTCTTTCCTGGTTTTTAAGTGTTGTTACCTACGAGACTTGTGTTGCATCTTTTTATCGTTTCTCACCTTTTGTTTATTTCATGTTTTTTTGTTGTATTGTCAGATCGTCGGTATAACTTGTCTAGGGTGTCTCTTAAATGGTAGCAACCAACGGTCAGGTATCGATGACAATTCTGAAGGCTCGTTTCGGAAATGATGTGCGTAAAACACCAATCCATCATGCGCATGATCTCACCCTCAACGACCTCACTCTTATGCTCCAGAGGATCTTCAAGATTTCATCGGCTGAAGCGATCGTACTGAAATACAAGGATTCCGGTATGTCGAGTAAATTACGTAACTTTAGTTCTTGTTAATGGCATCCAACTTGTACCCATTTTATTAGAATAATAGTAACATACAATATATGTTTATCTAAGGGTTTGGTATATGGGGTCATAGTGGTGTTGGGTTTCATCCTACAATTTCATGCTTTCTTTCTAATTATCATATATGTGTTTTTCTTTGAAATTAGCCGAATGAAAATCGTACATCAACCTCGTGTAAGATCGCCAAGGAAAGAATACATATTGATCAGTCATATCGATGTTGAAGGAGAATTGGTTTTGAAATATCCTCATATATTTGATCTAAATGATGGGCTACTATGTTTCAACAATTTGACGACTTATTAGCGAATCTTTTTGTGTATAGAACAGCCGTACTGATCGTTAAACGGGCATAGGTAGGGTTAAGTAGTCCAATTGCAATGAATTCTTGGAATTCCGTCGAGTTCACTGCTCGGAGATTCTTTTAGATGGTGACCTTATTAGTCTAGCCGACGACTCCGACCTTCTTCTTGCCCTGCAGTCGGAAAAGTATTTATCGATCGAAGTTTCACTTGATAACAAGGCTGCCGCTGAATTGAATGGTGTGAATCAGCAGATTTCGCAGATTCAGGTTCGTTATGCATTTTTAGCACTTTCATGGATCATCGTTATTCAAAAATGGAACCGTTTGTGATATCGAGTCAATTTTCTCCCAGTATATCTTGCTCCAACTAATGCCTTTCATTGATTTTTTAGTCTGAGTAACCATTTTCCTCTGAAACCTATAAAATCTGGGAATCTCTGCATACATCTGCGTGGTATGATAGTCCACGCTTTTCCTAAGGAGTAATATTATTAGATGCAACACTCTGTATAAATGTCATATGTCATGTCCTATATTATCCTAATATTATCGAAAATGATAGTTTTACTCCTCTACTTCCTGTGCCTGATGGTCAAAGTTCTTTATGAAAAGCCTAGAAGGAAGGTGTGGTGATAAACGAGTTACTAAGGCGAGCAGAACCCATTGGGCTACTATTGCACCGGGCAGAGAAAAATGGAAGGTTTAACGGGACGATAGGTGGTACGTGTGGTCCTTGTGCGCGCGCCCAGCAATACACGTGGGATCGATCCATGCGCTCCAGGTCTACCAAGCCATCCATCCTTCAGGGGTCGGCAAATTGGTACCAGAATTGTTTGGCAGGATAGCAGCACTGGCTCGATACATCGGTAGGCCACCGCGATTCGTTGTAAAGGGCAAATATAAATTCACCCACCTCCAACGATACTTAGTGAAGTCGAATGCATGGCGGCGCATCCCTCAGGGATTGACAACGCCGAGAGCTTTTTCCTCATTGCTTCCTGTGATAGTGTTGAGATTAATTTAATTTGTGATCTATCGTTGTACTAGTGTTGTTTAAAATAGTTCTAAGGAAATAGTTGCTGCACGAATATCCTCAACTATTAATATGCATTTGCTATGAATCACCGAAGCTCATTGGTTACTTTAGCCGAGGACATTAAATCTTGTAGGTTTGCAACATCCTTTTGTATTCGAAATGAACTATAAATGTATTTCATTGTTTACAAGATATTTTTAGGCCGACTTGCAGCGTCTGTACAAGTCTCTAGCAAGTATCCAAATTCCGAACATCCACACTGCATCACAAGCTAATGCATCTCAACATTTCGAGCCTATCGATGTAAGTACAAATGCATTTGAACTATTAAATATCGTAACGTTTTCAGGATGTGTTAGTTAAATCATTGACAGCTAATTTTTAGATGATTGAACCCATTTAAGGCTGTTTCAGGCAGTATTAAACCATGGAGACCATGTTCCCGCACTTCCCATTAATGGTTTTGATGCTGCACCACTTTCTCCACCTTCTCCGGCAATATCGGAGAAGCCTGAACTACCTGCTACTATCCAGCCATCACTACAAGAGCAGGTTCGCTTATATCCTTTAGTGGCATTCGATTTTCGACTTGTTGTTAATATGTTATCTAGCAAATTCGCGGGGTTCCCAATTCATAATTATCGTTCACAAGTTAATCAGTTTTCGTTCGGAGGTTGGATAGAATATTAATAATTAAAATAGCATGCATAGTTCTGAGTTGACATCACTTACTAACTACTAGATTATCAGCTTGCGATGTCACTCCGTTGAGGTCGGAATTGGTTCCTATTGATTTCAATGTTGAGCTTGAAAGCCTAGGAGTATTGTTGTCAATTTGACAACAACAATCACTACTGTTGAGATGATGTATATCTCGAGTTGATCATTGTCTGTTGTCTAAGCTAGTATAAAATTGCGACATTTTAGTTGTACTTTTGTTGAGGTTCTTCCGGATGGCCTTTCTCGGCACGATATCTCAGCTTCATGTGTAGAAGAAATCCCGCTAGAGGCAGGGGCACCGGCAGCATCGGCTCCTCCAAACAACAACTTTGCCACACCACCGTTAACAACGTCCGCGATTCAGGATCCCCATGCTCCACAGCAGCAAGGGTTTGCCCCCCAACCACCACAGCTCCCCTCGATTCCGTCCTTCCCCCATGCCAGCGTACCACCAGCTAACTTCTCTCCAACCCACCAACAACATGATCAGCCACCACCACAGCCACCACATCAGTTTGTCCCACCACAGCAGCATAGCGTTCCGTCTCAAATGCCGCCTTCCAGCTTCCCTCCAGCGCCACAACAGGTGGGGTACTTGTGTTTTTATTACAGTTTTCGTTTTTAATTAGGAGTAGGTGTATATCAACTTCTACCTTATTGCATCAGCTGTAAGTTTGGTACACTAGTTGGTGGCGAGCAAGAAGTTCTGTGCGCCAATTCTGGCTTAATCTGCTAAAAAGTACTTTCTCAGTATAAGTATCCGACATAGTACTTTTTCCCATGTGTTTGAGATTTTGTCGTAATATATCAGCAAATTCACATGTGAAGTAACAGTACCATGGGTTAAAGAATTTATTTTTTTAAGAACTTTGGTGCACCTCCTCAGCACTTCGCTACTCCTCCACAGGCACCTCAGCAACCGCAACCACCGACGCCACGATCATCTGTGTCATCAACTCCCATTCCTCAGCCATCACAGCAGTTTGGTGCGTCCCATGGAGGACTACCACAGCAGTTCGTTCCACCTCAGCAATTTCCGCCAACACAGTTTGCACCACCTCCGGCTCAGGTTAATGGAATTCGTGGACGAATGGTTTTGCTCTGAATCTTATTAACTCATCTCTTTCTGGGCATGAATGGCAATAATCAAGGATAATTCGTAGCAATTTTTGAGTCAGCATGAAACTAAATGGATTAGAAAATTTTTTCTAAGATTTGTCTTCATTTTGCACGTTGTAACATTTCTTGTTTTATATTTTTCGCGTACAGAACGTTTGTTTGTGTGAGATGTTATGCTGTAAGTGATTGCAACATATTGCAAAAAGAGCTTGTAAGGTCATAAACTTATAAGTGATTCCCAATGTCTACTCTATGACTGTGGGTTTTTGGAAATGTAGTTTAGCGTTTTGTGATAGCCTACAAATTTAGTTGTTCTTAATGGAAGTTTGAGGTTAAGAGCAGAAATATAGTTTGAGAAAGTGTTGCAACTGCCTGAGTTACTAATGGTTTTGCGTCAAATGTTTTTATCCTTCATCGAAAACCTTTTTAGGGCTTTGGAGGTTCGTCAATGCAACACCAACAGCAACAGTTTGCGCCTCCATCGTCAACATTTGGGCATCATCCACAGTTCGGACAAACAACATTGCCTTCTGAACCTGCACCACCAGTAGGTGGAATGCATCCTCCATTCGCACCACCTACTACAGGTTTTGTTCCACCACCAATGGGTGGTCCAGCTGGTGTACCTGGAGGGAATCCATTTGCACGTGGGCCTGGTATTGGAGGGTATCGCAATTCACCATATCATCAGTAAAGTAAGCAAGTTATTTATGTGAACTAATTTATTCGTGTCAGTTAACATTGTGATTGTTCGTTTTTACTTAGGCAGTTCTGTGCTCTAAGGTTTGCGTCGATCATATTGATTAGTTCTTTGACGTGCGAATAATAGATCTAGTTAAATATAACATTCTATATTTGATGTGCGTGAGAGCGAGTTGTTATGTGGGACACTGTAAAACAATAAATTTCTAATCATTCATCTGTACCTCTCGTAACCTTTTACTTTGTTATAGTTGGTTTAAAGCTGTGGAACTATAACGGAAACTGTTTTTAGCACCTACAGGTGTATCAGGTCTGAGGTTCGGATTAATTTTTAGTCCTTTTCCCACTTAGATCTCTGGTGGGTGGAGGGGGAGGTGTCGGGGGTGTTTCGTTACAGTTCGTGGCAGTAGTTACAAGGAACAAAACGTTGGTCATCATTGATCAATCCATGAATAATGAGCTATGTAAAAGTGATGGGATATATGGGAAGACGATACGGTGAATTTTCGTACGCCAAACTGTTGTGTTAAATGACACTTTTTATTCTCCTAGACAAATTTTCTGTGAATTGTATGACTGTGAAGTGTTTAAATAGTTGGTTTGGATCGATCGTGGCATAGGATCGAACTGTTCACCATGCTTAAATTGCAAGGCACTTCTAAACTCCGCCCCACACCTTGTGTGGTGCTTATACAAAATAGAAGTCTGAAATGCTTAGTGGTGCATATCGATGGGCTTTTACATGAAAAAAAATCTGGTGTTTTTTTTACCTACGAACTACTCTGTAACAATTAAGGTTAGTTGCTTGTTGGAAAACCACCACTAGCATGATTATGTTGAAAAGTGGTTTTAACGAGAATATGGTGTTGGTAGAGTGACAGTAACGTGTGACCTCCTCAGTGCAGTGTCTCTGTCATATTTCTGTACAAATCTTTCCACTATGATTAACTGTTGCTCAGGAACTAAACAGTGCCAGATCAATGATGACCACCTAAAGGTTAGTTGAACAGCTGAATTGCTATGAAGCAGTCAATCGGTGAAAGAAAACTTTGGTGAAGAAGACCAGTTTTTTCTCGAAAGTGACCGTGAAATGGAATCTCTTACGATACGGATGTCAACCACGAATATCGGCGTTGATTACGATCTTCGGCGAAGTGCTTACAGAATGGTTAACTCGTAGATAGGACGACTTCATGTATTTTCTTCGCCAATAGAAAACGTTCAAAAAAGAAATTTTAACCATATTGGGAGTGAGCTTGAATATTTATTTCGGTGCTAGAGAAGTACATTTTTAAGCAGAGTGGGAATTGTGCAACCATAGTTTATAGAATAATTCTGTGGAGATACAAAGGGTTTACCTAACTCAAAGAAGTGAGTATAGCTTAAAAGATAAGGGACAAAGTTCTCGGCGTTGATCAATTCATGAAGGGTGCGCCATTCATCCAATTTCACTGATCGTTTGTAGGCGATTGAGTGCATACCTGGTCTCGATGCAATACAGACCCGCGGTGGCCTATTGATGCATCGAGTCAGCGCTGCTATCCTCTCAGACAAGTCTGGTACCAATTCGTCGAACCCGGACCGATGGAAGGCTTGGTAGGCCATGGGTGCCATGATCGACTGCACGTGTGCGTTGTAGGGCGCCTCCGACCACTGCGCCACACGCGCCCAGGGTGTAGCCTAAGTGGATGAAATATGTGAAATAATTTGGATTTTCTAGTAAATTTGTTGCCACAAAAAGAGCTTAAAAGTGTTTTACATAGTAAAAGTAGTGGAGAAAACTAAGGGGTAGTAGTTGTGATCACTTTTATTGTGATTAGTTTTTAGGAAGTAATATTGTCCATTGAGCTCATAAAAGATAAAGGGATAAAGCTTTTAGCGTTAGTAATTCCACTGGAGATGCACCATGCATTCGATTCCATTCGAAGCATCGGAGATGTATGTCTGGTCTATACCAGATTTTTTTGGTACTTATCGATATACGAAATTAGTTTCTTATCCTACCAGAGAGGTCTGACACTAATTTCCTAGCCTCAAAGGGATGAATGGTTTCCCTGAGTTCGGGATCGAACCAACGGCTTCATGTGCGTTGCTGGACATCTCCAACTAATATGCTGCGTGCATCTCTCATAGTTATGCATAAATATGCCACAGACTATGGGATAGAATTAGAATTTAACATAAGGAAGTCGATTATTTTCTGATTGAGTGAATGGTACCTTCTAGTGGTAGGCAGCGATAGCACGCGACTTGTAGTGCAGAGTGAGTGCGCGTCGCTAATGAATGCATGGTCCGAGTTCGGGTTCGGTCGGCTAACATCTGGATGACAATGATCGAAAGGCTGGTATTCTCCTCTGAATGCGTGTGAAGAACACATTCCAGTCCTCTGCTGCCTTCCTTCTGAGTTATCCATGCCGATGTGTTTTTCTCTAACACCATATCAATTCTGGCATCATCACAAATGTGGGATGTCTATGTTACCGATAAGAGATCGCTCCTCACATAACAGATACGTTGGCATGATGATTCACACGGGTCGGCTTAAATTAGTTTTACAGGAATCCAATAACCCATATTTAATAAGACGTAACCAGTGTGATTGATTTGATTTTGATTCGACCTAAATTCGAAGTCTTTCCGCTTTTATTCCTGTCAATGGATACCCAAATGTCTATGCACTATGATGAGCCCATTATTGCCTCCCTCCAAATAATCCAGCTCATCTTAGTAGGCGGCTTATACCGCCAAAATAACTCATCTGAACACAATTATCCCGTTCGGTTGCTGAAAATGCTGTAGACTACGTTCACGGAGATATTCATATCCACATGAGACCGAAAAAAACTGAAACTGGTTTCAAAAGCGATGTTCTTGATGAGTTGATGACGTCATCTTATTATAACCAGTGAGATAACGTTGTGTTGGCTCTCTTCGCGGTTTGTAGCAACATGCGGATAAATAGAGAACGACTTGGTGATAGTCGAACGTAGATGCTTTCATCAAGTCAGGTCTTGTGGACGATGTGTTATTGATTGTTATTGATCGACTAGCTGAATAGGTTACAAATGAGAACAAATAGATGGAGTATGGTGGCAAACATACGACATCTTGAGCACGTTTATGACCGTGCTACTAATTTTCGGATAACTCTCGCTTATTTTTTGTTTGAGAATTTGATAAATTCACAGAGAATTGCGTTCTTGCCTGAGAAGTCATAAATCTTGACAGTTCTATCTTGATAGAGCAGAAACCGAAACAATAAGTGATTCTTGAGCTTTAGAAGATTATCATTGTGGTCGAATAGGTGCACTTTTTTGTCATATTGGTAAAGATACATAGATTTTAACGATTTTTGGTGTATCACTCAATAAAATTCACCATTGATTGGGATCTGCTGTTTGTAGAAAACTTGTCGAGCTGGTTTACTTTAGACCATGCGTATGTATTGAACCCAATACTCACCGACTAAACTCAGTATCGGTATCGACGTCAGTAAGAGCATCATCGCCATTAGTTTCATGAGTCTCATTTTGTACTAGTCAGAAATCTTTATAGTTAACCGCCACCCTGCCTTCTATGGAAGCGCCCCGATAGCGGTGCTATGGTTGATTGCCCTGGTGAAGATGGCACCCTCCAAGAAAAGGAATCATTAAGAAGTTCGTTCTCCGTCGTTTGTTTTGTGACTTTAGAAAAGGGTAATTTCAAGCGTCGAACAGAATGGGCTTATCTGCATTTTAGTGGAATTGAATTGCTGGCGGACGGAATATAGAGAACATTCTTTACGAATATTGGAATGTTCTCTATGTGAATTAATTATAACCTTATGTCAAACATTTTCGA